GTAGTCAAGACTAGTTACGAGTCTCCATCGTACTGTAGTGCCACGTAGTATACTACCCCTTATGCGTCAAGCGTTCACTGCGCCAGCACTTATCAGGTATGATTACCGCCACTGCAGACGATGATCCCGGGGTCAACTAAGTACTGAACTGACATTGACCTGAGCACGGTGTCACTATGAGTATTGACATCAGAACTGGACTTGTCGGCAGTTGCTGATTGTGATACAATGCCAATCGAGAGACATCCACTTGAGAAACACACGACTCGTCAGTAAAGTCATGCCTGATGAAAGTGCCTCCCCGGGAACTGGTGGGAAGTAGGTCACGGATGACTTGTAATTTAAACAGTGCACTTATTAGTTCCTTCCCATCGGCTTCCTGTCATTGTCCTCTTATTTTGACATTGGGTCCAAAGCAACCCACGGGTACAAGTAGTAGTCATGGTAGTTATCAGAATGACTGTCTTTATAGATCTATACTAGGCTTGAGCACTTCCACCGACCTTTGACCCAGCGAATTGCGGTTGGTTCAACACAAATCCAGAAGTGTATTCTTATTTCAAACTTTCGGATGTACATTAGACGGCTGGATCCGAGCGTGAATATATCCAGCATTAGCGGGTTTGCGTTATAATGTAGACGACACTTGGACGACACGCCTCTCGAAGCTCCTTCATCTAGGAGGCGGCTATATCAGCGTCAATCATCAAAAGTAAGGTAGGTCGAGTCACCATGTTTAATGTGGCCTATTTTTCGGCACCAAGGAGTCGAAGGGCTTGTTCAAACACCCCTAGTGGGAGTTCGCTCCTGAACCCAGCATCATGTAGATGCTGGACCGCTTCAAGAAGCTGAATGCATTCATTTGATCCATCGACCAAGGAGTCCGCGGCAGGGCGTCGGATCAGCCCGACATAACGAGCTCCACATTGTTCTATGCAAGTTTTCATTGCTGGGTGAGCAGCGATCTCCAGGACAATGATATTATCGCCCTCGTCATGAACGAGCTTCTGCACGATGTCACTGAACTTCGTTGGGCGGAGAACGTTATCCCAGAAGTAGTCGCTATCAAGCGGCCTATTGAGCCAAGTTCCGTCAATGGATGGACATTATTCGCACTTCACGTGTCCCCGCATCCGACTTTCGGTCTAAGTCTAGATTCTTCAGTGCTGCCTTGAACGGCGCCTCGATTGGTTCCATCAATGGTGTGTGGAATGCGCACCCAACCTGGGGAAGCCGCACTGCAAATGTATCTGAGAAGGTCTTAGAGTTGCTTAGGAAAGCAAACAATGCGTCTATGAGGGGATGAGTACCGGCGATGGCAACGGCGTGGGGAGAATGAAAGGAAGAAATCCAGAGGCCGGATGTCACCCCCGCTTGAAGCAGCACGTCATCAATGATGAGCTGTGCTTGTCGTGGACTGACTGCGACAAAGATGGTGGCACCGTTTCCCTCGACTTCAGACATGGTAGTAGCGAAGGCCGCAGCAATCCCGATTGTGGTCGATCTATCGTAATGGCCTGCCGCGTAACCCATTGCTATTTCCCCCACGCTGAATACCCATTAGCATTTTCAACTTCTGATTGATGCAACTGAATACCTTGTGCCAACAGCAAAATTTGCTTTAAATCCCAAATTTCGAATGAGATCCCACAAGGAGATTTGTAAGTATGCAAATGACAGAATGACATCATTTAACGACCAGGTACCACTTGCGTTCATGGAGCACTCAGCGCCCGGAATGAAAAGGCCCGTGCGATCCAATAACGATGGCTGGCCATATACTTCCATCAGGATCCTATCGTTTTCCTTGATGGAAGCAAGGAATGGAGGGTATCTTTCCGCGAGTTGACGACCCATGGCTGGATGTTGCGATCCCATTCCGACGAACGCCACACAAAGCTTGGGACCAGATCCCCTATCAGATGGTGGAGATGAGGGGGAGAGATCCCGCCATGGGGATGATTACTCACTGACAATGATCTTCGTCTTCATACAGTGCTCCGACTGGTGGATCAATCTTTGAAGTTAGGCGTCCTGAGTCATTGCACAGCTCCACGTGCTCTGACATCGTGGCGGCCTGAGTGTCTAGTGGGGTAAGCAGAATGGATAGAGGTTCCTGTCACGGTTGCTGCGCTTTGTAAAAGTACATAGAATTCGAGATAGAACACATACCTCCGAGTGCACGAGCTCTCCCGTGATATTTGAGATACAAATTTTCACTTTCAAAGTTGAATGTTAAATGTCGAGGAGTAACCGACGAGCTCGGAAATGAAAAGATAGCTCAAACGCCGTCAAATTTGTGAGTGCTTTGCAGCAATATATAGGCTTGGTGCCACTTTCCGTGCGAGGATATGGTGGCGAATCTCCGCAGCAAGCCCTGTGTATTTAATCCCTTACCAAATTATATATCAGTACTCTGAAACGAGCCTCATGAACTGCCTGTGAATCGCCATATCAAAATGTCGGTCGGTCATTGGCTTGTCTGTCAGTAGTGAAAGTAGGCTTCAGCGTGCTCAACAAGAAAAAGGCGGCCGAAAAACCTGTAAATAACTACACCATCTCAAGCATGTACATGTAACGCTGCACCAGGTAACCACGATATTTTTACATGCCCCCGCTCGGTTCGATCCCATGAACCTTGATAGCTCTCTGTAAGGCCAGATCAGTTTGCAAAGACATAAACGAAGTTACTTGGCTCGCCTTCACACCCCAGCCAACACCCCTTATGCGACTACATCCCCACACCTTAATCTCGTTCAACTTTGTGCACGCTGTAACAATATCTTTCATCACAAAATCATCCAGCTCCCGGCACCACCCAGCATCTAGATAGTGCAGTTCATTCGCTCTCTTGAGTTGTGCGAGTGCTTCAGACGAAGCGCTGCGCAGTCCATTCACACTCAACCACGTGAGCGACTGAGCAGAATGAACGATGGCAGCTGCGAGTGCCGCACTTGAGAGCTCTTGATTTCGGGCAAGGGACAGTACGCGCAACGGCGGATTTGGCGTGAATGGTTCGAGGGAAGCGAGACTAACATCCACAGGGTCAGAGTCCACATCCATATCGTGGTCTTCGTTTTTAAGGGGGGATATGGGATAAGCCCAGTTGCCAAAGAATTGCGCCACGCCCTCATCAGTAAGATTAAGACACTCGTCCAATTTTAATTCGAACAAAACACGGGCGTATTCCCTGATACTCTCCTGGAGAACTTGGTCAGTGAATCCTTCATGCTTTGAGGCATCAAGTGTTTCAAGGGTGCCTCCGTGCTTTTCTATGATCTTCATCCAACCGTCTTCGTCTATGCCTATTCCTGGAGACGCCAGATCTAGCACTCTCAATGACGGAAGAGAACACAAAGGATCGGCAAACTCGTTGTCCATCAGGCCAATTTCCTTCAATGAGAGCTCTCCGATATTTTTGCAGGTATCTGCGAGCGTCCGCATGCATTCTAAGTCGAATCTTGGACTCTGTGTAATCTTGAACACTTGTAAACCTGGCATAGCCTTGAGGAATTCGATCCAGGCTTCTGCGCGTACGAGGAACGGGCCAAGGAGTGTCAGGGAAGTCAGCTGCGGCATTGAAGTGGAAAAAGCCAAAAGGACGGGCGATGTGAGACGCCCACAATAATCGAGATGTAAGTGGGTCAAGTTGGGGTTGAGGGAAGCGAGAGTCATCAGTGCATCTGGAGTCAAATCTGAACAAAAAGCCGAACTTGGGTCAGCCGGTACGAATAGAAGAAAAGTCAACATACTAGTTGCATCGTAGAACCTGAGCTTCTTGTTGAGCACATCATAGAACAAATGTGCATTCTGAGGGGTGCTGTCGTTCTGCTGTCAGAATCTCACAGAAGCATCCCTGACTCATCACTCACAGACCACGGTTCTTGGAGAGCGCTTTCGCAATTTCATCCATGTTCACGGAGCCGATATCACCCAAAGCTTCCACGTCGTCGATATAGCGGGTGATGAGCTGCATCATGAAGCTCGGTTGCTGTGACACTGGAAGGTTTTTAATAACCTACCTCGATGCACATTGCCGCAAGAGATGGGAAACGACGTTCCTGATAACTGACGACATCCCGTTTTTCCGTAACATTAACACGTTTGCGAGGGACCGCAGACTTCTTGAAAGGGTCAGTACCAGAAGCCTTGACACAGTGGTGGCAGAGATAGCCAGGAGGCGGATTCGCTGCCATAGTATACTTTGTCTGCACCCAATGTTAAATCATGTATATTCTGAGTCAAACAAATCATACCACAGTGAACTGCTTTTCGCATCTCGCACAGGTTTCGAAGCTTCCAACTGGAGGTTTGGGACTACCGTTGCCACCCACTGACCAGAGATTCTTCGGCTTTGCCCTGTACTCGTCCTCAGAGGAGCCTTCGTATTCCCCATCGTCTTTGGCTTTCTTCTTGGCCTTGGCTTTCGCGGCAGGAGTCGCTCGGCCCTTTGTACTCTTCCGTTTTTGACAGGAGATTCTTCCGCAGGCTCGTCGAGCTCATCTGAGGCATAGCCGGTGTTCTTATTCGATCAAAGAGTTAAGTTGATGATAAGAAGCTTTCATGAGCATAACTTACCCTCCCTCGACCACGTCGGCCATTCGATGCCCGGGGAGCGCTTTCCTCTGGTTGCCCTTCCTCTGGAACATCTTCCACATTATCCCCCGAGTTACTTGGACCAGCCACAGATGAATCTTGCTGGTTCTCAGGCTGATTCTGGGTAGCCACTCGACGAGCAATTGTAGTTGGATTAATGCCTGACTCCTGTTAATAAAGTTTCATCGAAGCGACGCAAATGTTTCAGGGGGACCGAAACGTACCCTAAGGAACTCAGGTCAATGCAGATGTAGGTCCTCGAACATTATTTCCACGTCTGCTCATTGTTGGAAACACTGAAAAGAAGTAATTGAAGGCTATCGACGATGTCGGGTGTAAATTGAAAGTAGACGCGCCTTTGTCACAAATTTAAATGAGACACGCCAGGTCACGTGCCACTCTACATGTCTAATTCTCCACTCTCGCCAACGTTAGCGGCCACCTACCCTTTCACAGCTCAAGTAGGTGGCCATGCGGGCGTTCAGGCAACAGAAGACAATTCCCTTCTGTTGAAGCCAGCTCTTCCTCGTGAAATTGACTTTTATCAACGACTCGCCGCAGCAGGTGATCACGATGAACTATCGGAGCTTAGAAAGTGGATCCCAAACTTCCTGGGCGTGCTGAAGCTTGAGGGACAACTCAAAGATTCAAATGCAGTTGAGAACGGAGGCGTTGGAAATGTGGAAGTAGTTCCCGTACATGGCAATATAGCGCCAGAGGATAAAGATATGTCAATCCGAACTACTGTCGGCGCGTCCCGCTTTTTCTTATCCGATTAGGCACAGCACCTCGTCCTTGAAAATGCTGCGTACGGCTTTGTGAAGCCTTGTATTCTGGATGTGAAACTTGGGACTATCCTCTACGATAACGATGCACCTCCCGAAAAGCAAGCACGCATGATCAAAGCCGCTCAAAATACCACTAGCGGGGAAACAGGCGTTCGCCTCACGGGATTTCAGGTACTTGCTCACGGTTTTGGTATTTCAATTATCGCTGAAAACGGCGCAGGTGTACAGCAACGACTCTCCCAAACCTATCTTGACGCCCAAGTCGTACGGGAAATCGATCAAGAAGGAGCAGCTTCCTGATGGTATTGAGATGTTCTTTCCTGTTTCGTCTGCACCTTATCCCACACCGCCGAACCCTATTGAGACATCGGAGGCAGACGTGTCAAAGCCAGGTCTTCCCCCTATCCTCCTCCACTGCGTTCTCACTACACTCCAAGCCGACCTAGAGGAATTGAAAGCTACTATATCAAACATTGAGATGCGCATGGTAGGCGGGAGTGTTCTCATAGTGTACGAGGGAGACTGGGAGCGTGCCTGGAAGGCATTTTCCACGCCTTCTGGGACTGCCACAACTGAAGAAGACGAGGATGATGAAATAGAAGTCGAGATAGATGAAAACGGACAGATTGTTCTAGAGTCTATACCCGACGAAGCGATAGAGGAAGAGGAAGAACCCCAAGCTCCTTTGTGTTCCCTCTCTCTCATAGACTTCGCGCATACTCGACTCATCGATGGCGCAGGTCCTGATGAGGGCGTGTTGAAGGGCATACAGACCATGATCGATCTTGTTAGACAGCGGAAGGATACGATCGCAGCGATGCTGCCTAGCGATGGATAATTGGATATCGACCGGTTAGTTGTGGTCTAGGTGAATATGGCACATAGCAGAGACTTGGAACACAAGCTTGGAGACTGTGCTGAATGGGGGACAAGTCAGAGTAAATATGACAGTATGAAATTCTATAATTATCTTCCCTATATATGTGTCATTTGGCTAGGAAGCTACCGCGAAATGATTTAAAAGTGCGAACAGGATTTTGCGATATAGGACGTGATCAAACTGTATGCTCGTTCCTCATTTTCTCGATTTAATTCGTAAAAATTACATGGGTGTATTGCTACATATACTACGCACATAACTATAGAACCATTTCAAATTACACTTCGTGTACAGCGAACTACAGGTGAATTCAGTGAAATGTCACACTAAAGTCAGTGATGAACCAGAGTATGAATGCTGCCTATCTTGGCCTAGAGCTTGCATACGCCCTTCGAGACGTTTCTTGGCTTGCGCTTGGATAAACGCTTGGAGCTCTTCAGGTGTCATGTTTTTCATTCCCGGAGCAGGCGAGCGGCTGGGGCCCAGTGCTGGTGCTGGAGGTTGCAATATGTTGTTTGCTGGAGCAGCAGGTGGCGGTGGAGGCGGTGGAGTACGTGTTGATGTCGACAGACCACGATCCGGATCTCGATCGTCATGGCGGTCACGGTACGACCTATCCCTGTCATAGTCTCTGTCATCCCTATCGTACCTTGATGCACTGCGAGAATAAGGCCAATCGCGGTCTTCATCTCGATAGCGCAAGGAGGCCGAATGCCTGTCATCCGTATCGTCAAACCGACCAGATCTCTCGTTCCTCTTATCACGCTCTCTGGCGTACTCGCGATTCTCCCTCTCTTTCCTCGCCTGGCGGTCCTCGATCTTGCGCTCGAGTTCAGGTACACGCTCACGCATGAGCTGCAAAAGCTCTCTCTCTAACCTCCTACGCTCCTCCTCTTTGCTCGCGCTCCTCGGACCGCGAGAGACATAGTCCAGATCATCTTGCAGCCGCTTTATGCGGTAACGCAGATCGCCCATCTCACGATCGAGGTCTTCATCGCCGGCATCTGCCACGGCGCTTGCATCGAGCATCTTTTGCGTGTTGGCAAGTTGACGTTTTATATCAGACATATCTGCGGCAGGGCTGTTGTTTTCATTGTGCGAGCGCACAGTGCTGCGGTCGAGGTTCCTGCTGCGGGGCTGGTGGAACTCGCCAGGAGGCTCTGCGTTGGTGTGCTTGTAGACTGTAGCATCTTGTCGTCCGCCAGCACCTGGTGCAGATGTAGAATTAGACGAGCGCTCTTTAAGACGCGAGGCAGGGGCGTCCAACGGAGAGGGGGCGCGTGTATCTTTCTTGATAATGTCCTTGAGGAAATTAACAGAGCCATCAAGATCTCGGGAGGCAGGAGGGATGAGTTCGAATGGGAGTTCGTCAGGTATGTCATTGCCATTAAGTTCTGGTGTTGTGTCAGTCGTGTGAAGTAAATAAGGAAATTCAAGGACATACTGCGGTACATCAGGCCCATTGCGACATGGAATTCGGCAAGATTGAGCTTGCCGCGGTTATCAGCGTCAGCAAGGGTCCTACATCAACATTAGAGACTGTATGTACAATAAGATAATTTTGATGATCACCAGATGCGAGCCAGATCATTCTTGTCGATTCCACTCTGGCCAAAGACCTCGAGTGCAGTCTGACCGCTAATGAAACCAGTGCCTTGGGTATCCCAGGCTCTGTAAATCTGGTCGTATTGCTTCTTTTCGGCCCTGGAGAGCGTCCATGGGATCTTGGGTGTAGACCCTATGCCTCGTGCCTGATTATGTTGCTGGGGAGGGGCAGCCAATGGCGCAGCAGTGTGACCCGCAAAGCCGGTCGGCTGGGGTACGAGGCTTGCTTTCACTACATACGTGATGAACATATTGAAAGACAAGTACATCGACGTTTACGCACCTGGTTCCACCATCTGCACGTATGTTTGTGGGAAGAATCCAGATTTCCCATCCTTCACGATGGTGCCATACCACCAATCGCCTCCTGTCTTGGACGGATGAGCAGTAATGATCAAGTTCTCAACAAAACCTAACAAGATAATCAGCGATCAGTCATACACATCAACAACGGGCATACTGAGCTCATCAGGTCTCTGTCCCTCATACGGGTAAAGCGACCGCACGCGGAACTCTGAAAAAAACAATCAGTTCAGATTTCCCCTTTGCTCCATGACTGCTCACTAGTAGACCTGTCAATATCATCCATCAGATCAGCCGTTGCCTTAGACACTTGAATCCCTGGCATCGCAGACGCCCCCTTAGCCGCCTTCTTATCATCTTCGATAGTAGCTAGCAAGCGATGTACAACGCCTTGGTCAGCATACCAATCAACCGATTCTTTTTTACTGTGTCCTGAAGTCAACCCTCCGGAAATCTGGGGTACTTGAGTGACCGGCTCTTGGTGCACTGGTATCTCGCACACTAGCGGGCGCACCTCGTCTTGTTGAAAGACTTTACAGATATGCGATTCTGGACGACTCGTGAGCAAAATGTGAGTCACGGGCAGATCAGGTTCGCGAAGAGCCAATGCGAGGAAAGTGATGAGATCAGCGAGCTCGGCGGTAGATGTACATTTGTCTAGGGCATCGACAACAAACGTCAACGGCTCACACCCACGCAGTCTGGAATGGAGCTTCCGGAGAGGTTTGAGAAAGAGCGCCTCCATCTGTCCGCGAAGAGACTTGTTTGGGTCTATAAGTGAGAGATTCTCGCGGATAGTTCTGATCACATCTGTACGGATGCTAGGAAAATTGCTGGCCAGCTGATAGACAAGCGTTGCGAAAAAATATCCAGTGGTGCAGCGGTCGGTGTGCTTGCGCGAGAAAAAGAATGTTCCGGCGAGCCGCTTTTCGATATTCGTCCGCTCGGCAACTTTGAGACCTCTCATCCTGTCAGCTACAGTGAACGCAACTGCAGACTTTCCTACGCCCGCAGTGCCATGCAGCCAAATGAGCTGATTCTTCTCTCGGTTCTCTAATGCTTTGTGGATGTAGCTGAGAAGGTCCACTCGGGTCCCATTCAAACATTTTGGATGGGGCTGACGTTCACGGGAGTCATATTCGGCACCCGTGACAGCGACTTGGGACAGCTTCTCCCAAGTTCCGTCAGACGATGGAGTCACTGTTAATGAAGTCAGGGAGCGAAAGATGTACAAGAGATGGAACTACTGACACTGATCGTGACTCATTGACGACGGATGTGGCCCAAATCGCGTGATTGAATGAAATAACTCAGGGAAGTACTAGCTGTGTAGCCTAGGTTCGAGGGTACGATTAGATGGGCATCGAGTCTGGGTGTTATTTCGGGGACGTGACTCAGACCTACAAAGATTCGAATTATGTAAATGACGATGATCAATATCCAAATTAATATTGTGAAAAACGTTTGGGTCGGACTCGCAAATGGTGCAGTATGCCGTAAGTTTTTCCTGATATGTAACAGCAACATCTCCCCAACCCCACAAGCGACGCAAGGTTCGTCTTAGAATTCTCCACGCCAGCGCATCTGCAATGTCGTCCGCTGCAAAAACCAAATTTGAGGACTGCAGCAAGATCCATTAGACTCGGAGTCCATCAGTCACGGAGACCTTGATAGGTTAGATGACTCGCACGCCGCGGGTGGTACCCGGGTGGATATCCGGGTAACGCCCACCCGTGTCACACCCTAATCCTATTTCTACTTCCCTGTCAAATCTTACTGCAGAATTAGAAAGATACGAGATACGTGACACACCTGAACAGACGCCAAGGGCGAAGCTGTAGCGAAGACTCCGTCCTTCACCGTGGTACATCAACGTCACAAACGGAAGCTTGACGAAATATTCTTCATGGATGCCACTCTGCACAACTTCGAACGCACCATGTGTGCTTGATTCGTCTGCGGCCTGGTTTCATGTTTCATATTGGGATGGCGAGGAGGAATGGGCTGCAAAGATGGCAAGTAACTGGATAGAATTGTCCGACATACGGTAGACTACCCCAAATCGACGAAAACTTGGAACCAAAAAAACAAAACAAAGATGGCAAGTAAAGCCCCATAATGAGTCTATGTGCTGAATATATCAAGACGCCGAGTCGGAGGAGGGTCGACTTGGTGCTGTGTTGGATGACAGCGCTATGGGATAACAGACTCTTCGTCCATCCGCTTGATGCCCGAAATGCGAGTGGGAGGTCCGAGAGTCACTACTTTATCTCAGCTTTGCGTTGCGCTGCGTATTCGATGGACTGAGTGATGATCGATGATTAGCGAGGTGCGGGAATTGATATTTGTTCGAAACGTAACCAAAGTGATCGCACAAGCAAGCCAAAATCTCGAGAGGGTAGATGACGACGCTCACGAGGAATGCCAGACGTACGTAGAGAAGTAAAGTTAGACGGTCGCGTGCACTGAAACAACTCCGTGACGGTCCCCCCATAGTAACTGGAGCCCGGTATACATATGTAGAACTTCATCTACCATATGTAATTTGATCCCGCGGAAGCAATGTATGTGAGGTCACCCCCTGTCTGACGTTGTCATGGACATTCCATGTGTTTAAATAGAATGTGACTGACGCAAGTCGAGATAGGCTGTGTGGAACGGCATGATACGTAGAATATACCTAACCTTGAATAGGACCACAGACACTTCAAGTTGGGAAGCCCAGTATGTCTCACCGTCGTCACGGCTGAAGGTGACCGGAGCGCTTCAAACACACATACGCCATATCAGAAAAAGCGCGATCTTACAACTATTTCGTACAGTTCCACCTCCTACTAATAAAACTACCTCGATAGACCATTCAAGAAAACCATGTATCCGTATTCACCATCAAGACACCTCAACTCCATTCCGAACCGGAACACCATCTTTGCTGTGTGGGATTGCCCGACATTAAGGTCTTGCTGAAGGTAAGCGGATCAATGGGATTGTTGCCATAACATGACAGTCAAACATACGCAGGCGATGATTTAAACTGATTTCAAGAATAGTCTTGGTCAGCTCCGCCTTCGCCAGATATTTTTTGTGAGAGAGTTCAAACAGTGTCTTCGCCATCCAAGCAGGCATTTTCCCTTTAACAGGAGTCTTCATGGCCTCTTCATACGCCCGGACGGCAGCGATCCCAGCTTCCCTGACAGCAATTGCATGCGGAGACGTAATGTACTGCTCGAGGGCGACAGTAAAAGAGGGAACAGACTCTTGCTGGCCCTGAAGATGGCGCTGCTTGTCGAAAATGTAGAAAGAGTGTTCGAAGATAATGACAGCAGCTAAATGATCAATAATAAGCAGGTTCGTCGTAACGTAGCCTCAAAATTCACCAGAACTGAGCTGAACAATGTTCTCCAAGAATGATGAGTCAGAGGCCTGGCACGCAACATAAGAAACGTGTGTACAATTTCTGACCAATTGGACATACCACAGAGAGTAACCTAGACTGCATCTCTGTACGATCACTCAGACTCAGCTGGTCAAATTCATGGTGGAAAGTTGAAAATTGTCCACCTCTGCTGAGGATCAATACACTCACAACCTGTGGGCCAATGTGTAACATCATCCGTCAGCATGACCCGATGTCAAAGAAGGATCAAGAAACTAACGTCCTATTGATGAATCAGCTAGGTTGTTTGCAAGGAAGGCTCTAGAATCAAAACACTCACAGTCTGTTAAGGGGTGTGCAATTTCAGTCGTAAGCAAAGCTCGACAGAAGATCAGCACACTGACTTTCTGTCAGTGGGTAAGTAATGTCAATGATGAGCAAGGCTAAAGCTCGATTGGGTATGAAGAGACTCGCCGACTATCAAGGGATCAGCGAGGTCGTTGATCAGCAACACTCGAGCTCAACGGCAGATGAACATACTCACGAGCCTGTCAACGGGGATCGGCAATTTCATTGGTGAGTGATACTCCAATTCGACTGGGGGTCGCTGCACTTACATCCTGTGAAGGGATGGAAGATGTCTTCAGTCAGTATGGGTCAAGCTCGATAATGAATCGAGTAACTCACAATCTGTGAATGGAGTAGCAACATTTTCAGTCGTATGACGCGAGGGTGATGAGAAT